AGGGGGAGTGGGAGAGGGAGAAGCAGGCTTCCCGCCGAGCAGGGAGCCCGATGCGGGGCTCGATCCCAGGACCCTGGGATCATGACCTGAGCTGAGGGTAGTCGCTTAACCAACTGAGCCACCCAGGCGCCCCAGGAAGATGTCATTTTTAAAGTCTGGGGTGTCACCTGCCTAGCCAGGGTCATGAGAAGTCAGGCTATTGATGGCAGCTGAAGACAGACTATGGAAGTTATACACAAACTTAGTCCTTCATTTAATGGGGCTCTACTCAAGATCCGAAAGCTTCTGAAAGCCTTTTATTGCCAGCTCTACTTGGTATAAGCTGGCCAAAATAAATCACACAGACCCACCATGCCGGAGGCTCTCGGTGGAAATATGCGATGTTGGCAAATGCCCCTCACTGCTCAGGGCTAGGGGTGCTGAGAGGCCTGGTCCTCAGTGTACACAATTGGAATATATGGCCCTGCTTTGGGCCCCCACTCCACATGGCAGGAGCCCTGCTACACCTGAGTCCTGGCTTCTGAAGCACTGTGTGGTGCGGACACCAATGATATGCCATTCCCTGCTTCAGTCAGAAACAGACACTATGTGCATGAGTTTTCTCCTGTCTCTGCTCAAAACACATGTCTTCCTAAATGCCAAGGGGAGAGTCAGGTGCCTGGGGAAAAAGTCTTATCATCCTCTTTGAGTGAAACGATGGGAGATGCAGAGGTGAATCCATTCATTCACTTGCTGACGTGTCCTATGTGCCCGGTACTAGAGATGCAGAATAAACGAGACAGGGGCTCCTGGGTGGCTCAGTCGGGTAAGCGTCTGACTCTTGGTTTCGGCTCAGGTCATGATCTCAGGGTTGTGGGCTGGAGCTCCGCACAGGGCTCTGCACTGAGCGAGGAGCCTGCTTAGGATTCTCTCTCCCTCTCTCTCTCTCTGTCCTCCCACGCCCCGCACACTCTCTTTCTCTCAAAAAAAAAAAAAAAAAAAGGAACAAACAAAACAAACCATTGCCCCAAAGAACCTCACAGTACAGTGGGGTACCCAGATCTGTAAACAGGGTAACAGGCAAGCACTCTGCCCACGCAGGCCACAGCAGAAAGGAGAGTTAGGGACAATGGATCATAGCAGCGCCCCCCCAATGAAGCACCCCCAAAAGCTACATACCTGCTTGCTTTCCTGATTTTTGCTTCTCTCTCTGTCTTCGGGTGATGCTGTCCCTTAGCCGTTTAAGATTTTCCTGGAAAAAAATTTAGTTCATTTTAAAAGTATATACGAGAAATATACCCTCCGGGCATTAAGAGTTTCTTTCAGATTTTATGCTGTTTGCAAGATACATCCCATTGCAATAACATCTCCAACATGCAAATGAGGCTGAGTGCATTTGTAATCGGCCCCCAGAGAAATTCAAGTACTCTTAGAAGTTGTGCCTGAAGAGAAGACCCCTTTCGTACAACAAAGCGTCTCCCCTCCCCTCTGGTTCCCAGCTCCTTCCCAGCCTTATAACCCCCTGCCCTCCTCCTTGTAGGCTCCTTTAGCCAAGCCAGTCCTGTACGTGTTCACAAACGCTCCAGGCACATATCTGCCCCTGAGACTGGGTTTTCATGCCATTCCTTTGACCATGAGGGGGAGGATTCCTCCCCATGAGTCTGTTCCAGTCTTGGTCAAGGTCCACCTTCCCCCTTAAACCTCTCCAGACTGCTCCGTTGTGCAGCCTGCTCCACCTGGCGCTGAGCTATGCTGCCGGGCCCAGTGCATTTGTGCATGTGTGTGGCTTTGCGGGGGGTGTGTGCTGTCTCTTCAGAGAGACCGTGCACTCTCAAAGGGCAAGACACGAGGCCTTACAGCTTTCTGAAAGCCTGCAGTCGGGTCTATCAGTCGTTAAACAAATGTTGAATAGACATGTGAGGGCTGAAATTTGTTGCTATTTTAGTCAGTAACAACTACCTCAAGGTGTCTGAACATCCGAGAGAAAATGCCCCAAGGACTAACGTCTAGACATCGAGAAGGGTCCCATGGGGGAGCCACGGAGGCCAGACTGGGAGGGGTGTTTGGGCTGTGACTACAGCTGAGACTGAGCTTGTCCAGGAAGCAGCAGGAAACACTGGAAGGCGTGGGCTGGGCACAGCTTTAAGGTCTGACAGACTGGAGGCGGGAGGAGTCGGCAGCAAGGAGATCCACCTAGACACTACGTGGCAGGCACATGACGGTGACAGAAGCTGGCCCCGGGGGAATGGAAAGGAAGGAGCAGATGCAAGAGGAAGAATCACAGAGCGGGACCAGGCAAGACATGCAGCTGGCTGGATATGGGGGACTGAGGGAGAAGAGCCCAAGGGATGGAAAGTCTCTGGAAGTGTCTGGAAGGTAACAGTGTGGTGAACAGAAGTAGGGAGCCAGGAAAGGGAAGCAGCCTCCAGGTACAGTTTGTTGCTGGACATGCTGCGAGTCATGGACACCTCAGCAGGACACACCCAGCTGGTGGCTGCAAGGTGGGACTGGAAAGGGGACACGGACTCAAGAAGGACCTGAAGGGACCCTGGGTGGTGCCTACTCACGGGAGGGGAAGTGAAGGAGACAGAGAAGTGGACAGAGGCGTGGAGGAAAGGGAAGATGGGGCAGCCTGTGGAACGGTCTTCACACCCACTGGTCCCTGGATGGGGGATGCTCTAGACATACCAAGAGGCTCTTGGGGCACAGAGTAGTGTCAGCTCCCATGGGCTGGGATTGCCTGCCATGTCAGATATGAGCCCCCATTGTCTGCCACACCCAGGAGTTCTGGGCAAGTTCGTGGGACCAGGAGAAGCCTCTTGGATACAGATGGAGACGGAGCGCTAACATTTGTTATGCGTTTACTGGGTGCCGGGCATGCCGAGTCCTTTACGTGGTTTACAGTGTCCAGTGTTCACCCTTCACATTTGAGGTGGGAAACAGAGGTAGAGAGAGGCCGAAGTCATTCAGCCCCAAGTGACAGAACAAGGATGTAACTCGGGCTGCCTGGCCCCGGAGCCTGCTCTTAACGACTGCGCAACATAGGCACGTGACCTGGTCAGGAGAAAGAACACTGTTGTTTGCCCAGGGCCAGGCTGTCCGGGGAGGAGGGAGGCGGGCCGGCAGACCAGGGGACCCTCTCGCAGGGAGCACTAAGAAGGCAGAAAGTGTAGCGAAGGGAGCACAGGCCAGAGCCTTCAAAGGGCTCCTCTGAATCCTGACTCTCTACCTCTCCGAGCCTCAGTAGTCTGTAAAATGGGAACAATGGTACTTCTCTTGCATGCACGCTGGAAGCAGCAGAAGAGATTAGGTCCATTCAACGCTGAGCATTGTCAGTAGACTGCTGGCACAGCTGGACAGATGCTGCTCGATGACTCACTTCCCCACTCGTCACCACTCTGAGACAGGACTCCGATCTCAGCAGTAGGTGGGTGCTGCTCCCACTGCCTCTCCCCCCAAACGGCAGGTGTGTCAGGTCTTCTGAGGACAGAGGTTAGAAGACACACCTTGGGGAGGTGGAGAGAAAAAGCAACCATTCTGGTCCTGCCTTGCCCTCCACTTAATGGGTAAGTGGTCTTGGATATGTCTCCTAACACCCTAGGCACAGCTTCCTCTTTCTAATATGAAGGAGTTGGACCAAGGAATATGCTTCCTAAGGTCAAGTTTGAGTTCTCTGGATTGCTTTAAATTATGCACAGAATACATGTATGGAGCTATATAGATTCTTACAAAAATAACAGGAGTCTTGGGCGCCTGGGTGGCTCAGTCGGTTAAGCATCTACCTTCAGCTCAGGTCATGATCTTAGGACCCTTGGATCGAGCCCTACGTCGGGCTCCCTGCTCAGTGGGGGAGTCTGCTTCTCCCTCTCCCTCTGCTGCTCCCTCTGCTCGTTCTCTCTCTCTAGCTCTCTCAAATAAATAAATAAATAAAAATCTTTAAAAAACAAAACAGGAGACTTCTCTAGGAGCCTTGTCCTCCAATTCCAGTCTCCTGAGTGGTCACGCTTGGCATGGCCATGGCGTAGCCTCCCCTGACCTCTGCCTCCGCCTTTGTATACGTGCCTACAGAAATACAGTTTGCGTGTGAGTGTGTTCTGACTTGGATGGTTTTAGGTCTGTGACTTGTTTTGTTGTCTTAATCCTATTTCTTGGGAACTGTCCAAGTTCTCTGAGTTCAAAGGTGTGACAGTTCTGTGGGAGTGTCGGCACTATGAGTAGAGAGAAGGGCTCTGAAAAGAAAACAAGCTGGAAAGCCAAAGTATAGGGCCACGTGCAGAGGGAAGTGGCAGCTGAAAAATTAGGGTTGACAGGTGAGTCTTTGTTCCTGATCTCTAGCCTCACGACAACCAGCAAAGCCATCCAGCTCTCAGCCCGGGGGTTGTGTGGGTACAGAAGACAGGGGACAGACATACACACGCAACGATTCACAGTGACACTCAAAACACCAGTCATGGGCCTGGCCACAGGTGCTCCGTTAGGGCAGCACACAAGACAGTGCGGACCCCGCCCTCCCTTCTGCCCGAAGGAGAAACGGACCTGAAACACACCAGACAGAGTCGGTTACCTGCTGGAAGCGGAAGGACTCCGACCGCTTCTTCTGGTTGAGCTGCCACTCTTTGAAGTGGAGCACAGCCTCATCAACGTTGACGATGCCCAGCTTCACCTGCTCCTGGAGCGTGATCAGCTGCCGCTGGCCTGGCGTTTTCATCCCAGCAAAAGGGTCATATATACTCGACTGGGGCCTGTCCCTCCACGGTCGGACGGGAGGCTCTGGAAAGGATGCCAAAACTCAGGGTGACAGCTCCCTGACTGGGGAGGGCAGGCAGACGAGTGAGGTTAACGAGGTCGGTCATGAGCTCAAGAGGACGGGTCTCAAAAGAACAATTACATGTGGAATGAAGATGGGGGGCATATGACATCGAATCAGAGAGGGGGAAGCAGCGAATAATTTCAAAGCCTGTTACGCTAAAGTAGACAAGGCCACAGCATTTTAGGAGGCAAGAACAGCATCCACTGGGCAAGTCAACAGAATCCCCCAAATCTGAATGATTGGGAAGCCATTAGACTAGCATTTCTCCACTTAGACATTATTGACATCTTGGACTGGAGAGTTCTTTGTTGTTAGGGGGCCGTCTTGTATGCTGTAGGATTTGTAGCCTCATCCCTGGCCTCTACCCACTAGCATCCCCTACCTCAGCTGTGACAACCAAAAACATCCCAGACATTGCAAGCATCCTTTGGGAGGCAGTGCAGGGAAAGGAGAAATCACCTCCAGTTGAGAACCACTGCTTTAGACTAAAATCCACTCCCAGAAAATAATATATGGGAAATTCTAGGAAGGATGCTTTTCCCAACACACTCCAGCCCTTTACTGTCCTCCCTGCCTCCAAGCTGCATGGGCACCATGACTGTGGACCCATGGGCATGAAATGTCCAAAAAGACTAGAATGTCAATGGAACCATGACCTAGCTCCAATGTCACCAGGCATAGATTAGGTGCTGGGTCCCAAGTGGCTCTCCTTGGGTTGTTCCTCTGCCAACCTCTCCTCCACATGACAAATTCATGGTTCTCTGCTTTGCAGATTCTCAGGAAATATGAAGGCAACCCCTCTCTTTCTCCAGGCTGTGACTCCACTCAGTTCTGTGGAGAATGAGTTCCTTGCAGACGTGATGGGGCCATTGGGGCTTGTGAGGACAACTTGACATTTTACTGCTCATTTCACGCAGGGCTATCTCTGATTCTAAATTTCTCTAGCAGGACCCCCATGGGCATTGTGATTCAGGGAGAGAGCAAGAAGAAAAAAGAGAGATGACTTCAAAGTTCATTTGTCATTCTTCCCAAGCATTCACTCATCTGTCTATCCACACCCACAAACCTTTCTCCCAGATTTGCCTTCTTCAAGGCTGTCTTTAATTGTGCTGGAAGACAGGGTGTGGGGAGAAAACAAACTGCATATGCCGATCAATTCCACTCTCCTACTACCTAAGTCCTTGGGATGCTTTCTAAAGCCTAGATGGTGTCATGTCTCCTTTTCAAAAGAATCATCAATGGGATAACATTGAATATCTCTCTTCAGCACAAGGAAGTTAATCAAGAAAAAAGGAGTGCTTATCTCCTCATACTTCCTCAAAAAGTCTTTTGAGGAGGAAGAAAAATGTTACTCAACCACAAGCAAAATGTCTCTTAAATAAAAGCTGAACGAAAGTGTCGTTTACCTAGTACAGATAGGGTATGTAAATAGCATGGTAGGGCTGTATCGTTAGGTAAAGCCTGGGTGCCAGGCTACCCACTTTCATCCTGTTGGCACCAATCTCACTATTTACACTGTTTTGTGTGCTGGCGCAGACATGTTCTGGTGTGTTCGTGTTCTCAGTATGATCAATTTGTACACTATTCTAGGGAGTCCCAATCTCTTCCCCTCTCCCCTTACCATCAGTACAGCACCACCTAAGGGGTCCCCTGGGCCTCTCTGTGTTTCAATGCTAAGGAGACGTTACACCTGCAAATCATTGAAACATGAACACTTCTACCACCTGGAAGTTCAGGTCATACAAAAGGAAGCTGAGCACATGGGGCTTACCTTTCCTGATGCTCTCTGAGGAAACGTAAAAATTCCCAGGCCGCTCCTGACTTTTTTCTGCAAAAACTATGAGATAAAGAATATTCTAGGTAAAAGCCAAATCAGATTTGTTTTTCCAAAGGGCTTTATAATATTTTAGATATCTACTGGAAAAATTACCAAAATCTTTTACAAAAACGGAAATGATGGATCACATTTTGGACCACGGTATGCAGTTCTGTAAGTCACAACTCCAGTAGGAGGCAACAAAGGTGCCAAAGCTCGGGGGATTATGGGATGAAGACAGCCCAAACAGACAAGGTCTCAATGCCAGAAAGACAAAGCCAGCCAGAGGACACGATGGATCATTAAAGGAAAGGGTAATGTGAACAAGGACATGAGCTGGGCCCTGGAATACCCGAACACCTCGAAGCTGGAGAATGAAAGGAAGTGCCAATCAACACGTCAACAGGTGCCCTAAAACAGAACTCAGAGCAGTGGGGCAGATACAATGCGTGCACCGCTCCAAAGGGACTTAGATGAAGTCAGTCGTGAGCAACGGACCCAGCAAAGCTAACAGGAAAAACAGAGAAGTGACAGATGCTTACTTGGGGGTAGGAATGCATAGTGATTAAGGTTCCCTGGGCTCTGGAGAATATTCCCCGGATTCAAATCCTGCCTTGGCCACTCAGGAGCCATATGATCTTGGACAAGAGGCTTGGCCTGTCTCTGCCTCAGTTTTCTTATCTATAGAATGATGATGATAATAGTACCTCCCTCCCTGGGTTGTTGTGATGATTACATGAGTTAATATATGGAAAGTGCTTAGAATGGTGCCTGGCACAAGGAAGCACTCAACATTAGCGAAAACTTGAGGTGGATGCCAAGAGCGCAGCAGTACTTGGGCATGCCAGTTAACACAACTGATAATCTGCACGGTGCTCCACAGTTTATAAATGTATTCTCCCATCTGACCCTCACAATCAGGCTCTGCAGAGTATATTAGGTATTATTATGATACATGCATTGATGTATATGTGTATCATTATGAGACCCATTTTACAGATGAGGAAAGGAAAGCTAAAGAGTGAAATGACTGACCTCATGTCCCAGGCTGGGAGATGCAAAGGCTGGGACATGAACCCAGGGGCTCTGGCCTCCAGACCACTGCCCTTTTTGTCACCCCCTGCCTCTCTTTTCTTTGCTTCCCCAGTTGCCTAGCCAAGTCCTTTGGGGATCTTTAGGAATCACTCATGCCCCTGTCCTAGCTCCCCACAGCGAGCCATAACACTAACGTTCTCTCCTTCCCTCCTGCCATTTAGGAATTATCAATATATATTCACATGCTTCTTCATTTGGGTTCCCTTAGAAGCAGCCCTGGGGACAAGGATCCAGGTGCATGGAGTCAATGTGGGGAGTGATGGAGGTGAGACAGGGAAGTGTAGATAAAGCCATACAGGGTGGGTATCCAGCAAGTTACTGGGGTGGGCAAGCTGGGGAGCTCTGGAAAGCAATGCAGAACACGCAGCTTGGAGTTCTCCCAGCAGAAGGGCAGGGATGCTCAGCCACCAGCCCATCCATCACTGGTTGCCGGGGCTCAGGGGTGCTAACCCCCCAATCCTTCCAGCCTGCCTCGCAAAAGGGCAGAGGAGGCTCTGGCTGCCAGAGAAAGCGGTCAGACTAAGAAACATGGGTCCTGACAGGCAGAGTGCAGCCAGTGGGCACAGAAATATACAGAGCTGGGGGATGTGGGCAGGGCATCAATAGCGTCTGCTACACACGCCGAAGGAGATGCTCCCCAGGGGAATGGCAAACCACAAGCACGGAGAGTACTGGCTATCCATAATGTCCCTCAGCTGTATTCCTACACAGTGCAGGATTTGCCAGGTTTAGCAAACCAAAACAAAAACTGAAAGAAAAAAAATGCAATATTTGAGAAAGAAATTATTTGCTGTTTGTCTGAAATTCACATGTACCTGGTCACCCTGTACCTGGGGCTCTGGTTGAGGGCTACCTTCCCCAATTTGTGATCACCTTTTGTCACACCTTCCACAACCTTCTTATGCTATTAAAAATGGGATGGGGGGGCGCCTGGGTGGCTCAGATGGTTAAGCGTCTGCCTTCGGCTCAGGTCATGATCCCAGAGTCCTGGGATCGAGTCCCGCATCGGGCTCTCTGCTCAGTGGGGAGCCTGCTTCTCCCTCTGCCTCTCTCTCTCTCTCTCTCTGTCTCTCATGAATAAATAAATAAAATCTTTAAAAAAAAAAAAGGGATGGGGATCAGGTGCACAGTTCTGACAATTCTTAGCTCTTGTAGTATTTAGAATCCTATCAATACAATCAAGTCCTAAAAAAGAGCAAAACTGACAATGCATCAGCATCTAACTGATCTCCCAGGGACCACTATGAAGAAGTCAAACCCAGCTCTCACCAATTTGTATCAGTGTAGGTAGGTAGACAGCCTAGCATAGTGGCTGAAAGCCGGGGACTGTGGAGTCGGATACCCTGAGTTCAAATCCTGGCTCTGCTACGTGGTAATAGTGACCTCTGTAAGTCTCCGTTTTCCTCATCTGTACAATGGGGATGATAACAGCCCTTACCTAATACATTATTGCAAAGACTAAACGACATGTTCCAGATAGAGTACTCTTGGTAGGTTTCAATAAATGTTAGCCATTAAAAATTAATAATAATATTTCAGGAAATAAAAATTTACCAGGGTTCTTGCCATTTGGAGTAGAGGTAAGTTTTTATATTGCACATGAATGCATCCAGGAAAGCCAGAACTGAATGTGATCATGGCCCATGGGCCAGCTCCAAAATCGGCCCCGAGCTCTAACCCCATCTCCTGGGGCTGGTTGGGGACCATTCAGAAGGGGACAGTCTCTGAGCAATGGTTCAGAAGTTAAGAGGATCTAGGGAATTCCTGCTGAGAAGCCCCGAACACCCCACTGAACATCATTCCCTGCCACACTTGCCTTTAGAAATGTATGGCTCATTGTCAGGCAGGTGGTGAGTGCCAGGAGCACTGGCCTCTGGCCTGGGCACCGGGACAGGGGGTCTGTTGGCCAGGTCCACATTAAAGGCCTCGTCGTCATCCACCGTGTGATACACATCTTCTTCCTGACCACCATGGTGTAGCTCCCTCTCCAAACTGGCCATTCCCATGCTGTTACCTAGAAACACAGAGAAAGGCATCAGAAAGCAGTGACCAAACAAACTGGGTGACTGACAGTCATAAGAACAGAGAGAGTGACCATAACTTACTTGTCCAGTACCGCCCTTTGGCAAAGACCTTCCCCTATATCATCTCCTGTATGATCTACTGAGAACCCCACTCGAAGCAACTGAGAAAACGCTGTTGTCACCTTCATTTGCCACCCATCAATGCAGCAAAAGGGAGTGAGCTCTAGGCTCTATCATCTTAATTTTATTGCTGGGATTCAGTTATTCATCCCACTGGGACTAGAGGAAAGAGAGCATAGCCTCCAAAGCCGAAGGACACTTGGAACCACTGCCGTGGTGCCTGGGCAGCGGCGTGAGGGTGGTCGGGAGTTCTCCCCACCCATGGCTCCAGCATCCTCATCGAGTCCTCCCCACCCATGGCTCCAGCACCCTCTTCGAGTCCTCCCCACCAATGGCTCCAGCATCCTCATCGAGTCCTCCCCACCAATGGCTCCAGCATCCTCATCCTCCCCATCAAAATGACCACAGCAAATCCTTGCTGTGGACTTCCTCTGTGCCAAGTGCTATCCCAAGTATATTACCCGCGTTACCCCCTTTGACTATATAACGACACTGTGGAATAACTACAATCATTATTCTCATTTTGCAAATGAAGAAACTGGGGCCTTGGGGGATTAAATAACTTGCCCAAAGTTACGTTGAGCCAGACTGGCATCCAGGAAAGCTGGCTCCAGAACTTGTCTCAACCTCCATGCTCTACTGCTTTTTTTGCAACCTTTGCCCCCACTCTGCCCTCCATCAACCAGAAAGATTTAGGACAGAAGCTTGCCGCTCCCACTCTGTCCCTGGGGTCCCACAGCCATAAGGTTTTCCCTGCCCCCTTCCTGGTGATCTGTGCTGGGACCCGAGTGTAGTGTCCCCTTGACTTTGAGAATCTCAGCAGACCCGACTGTACACCATTGCCCCTCATACACATGAGTTGTGGTGACCTCGGACACATCATATAACCTCTCTGAGCCTGATTTCCCTCTGAGACCTACTCACAGGAGCACTGTGAGGACAAAATGTGACGGCAGAGGAATAGCACCCAGCTCGGCCTACACATAGTAGGTGTTCCCCTCTCACTTCCTTCTTATCCCCAGCACGATGCATTCAACGGATCTTTATTAAATGCCTGTTTGAGATACAGGAATGAATAAAGCTTGGTTCTTCTTCCTATGGGATTTCCAATCCAGCGATTTATCGGAAGTTTCTTAGTTGCATCTCTTCTGAGCTGTGCAGAGACCACTCTTGGCTTCCCTGTGTCCTGGTCCAGAAGACTGACAGACCAGGGGGTCCCAACTCATCCAGGGGCTCTGAGTTCTAACACTCCGCTTTTGAGAAAGTTTCCAACTAGTGGAGAAGTTCCCACCTGTTCATCTTTGAACATCTTGTACAAGGGCATGAAGAAATTCTGGAGAGGCTTGTCTGATGTTAACAAAATGAGGTGTCCTGGGAGAGCTGCTGGCTACCTTACCAATGACAGTGATTCCCAAGGTGCCTGCCTCCATGCACACAAGTTCTCAATTCTGCTTTTATAGTGTGAAAGCAGACATAGACCATACTAAATGAACGGACACAAAGTGTTCCAATTAAACTTTATTTTCAAAAACAGGCAGCTAGCCAGGCTATGGTTTATCTACCACTACTCAGAACTGTTCTTTCCTCTTCACTGTCAAAACTACTTCTCCCATCCTGAATCCCATACTCTTAGCATCCTGCTTTCTATGCCTACTTCATCAACAGACTCCGCCCCCTGGTTTTATAAATGATTATAAATGATTGGACAGAGTTAAGGAGTTATCCCCACAATTCAACACCCTCCCTCTCTGACCTTCAATGATAATGATGACGACAACAACAACAATCATAAATCTTCATTGCTTGCTCTATGCCCAGCCCCGCTCTGAGGCCCACTAGACAATAAGTCATTTAATTCTCACAACATTCACCTGAGGACACTGAGGCCCAGGGGAGTTGAGAACTTGTCCAAGGTTTTCTAGCCAACTGAAGGGGGAACTAAATACAGATCAGAGTTCGTATTCTTAACCATGACACAAGGCTCAATTTAACAATGTTTGTGTATATTCCCCTATGTTCTCCACATTCACCAGAAAGTCATCTCTTAAGGGCACTTGATCACATGTTATTTTTCTCTGTGTCCTCCAGCCCAACATCCAGAGCAGTGCTTTGCTCATATTGGGTACTCAATAAATTTTAGTCAAATAAAAATAAGCATATGCATTTTAAAACAGGTCTTGTTGGAGGCAACTTGTTACTCAAATGAGTGGCTCCAGTGGTAGGAACTCCTGACCTACGGTAACAGGCTGATGGGGCAGCTCACGGGGATGCAGTGTCTTCAATCATCACACCATATGCCAGGTATGTGGCAGCCCATTCCTTTAATGGAGCAACCATCATATGGAACCAGGCAATGTTCCTACATTTACTTCTCTTTCCCTCTTTTGCTTCCCTGCTCACAGTTGCAAATTACCTTCTAAAAACTTGCGGATCATAGAGTCCTTAGTGGCCCGAGAGAAACCATCTCCAGGGATTGGATTAGATGTACTGGCCTGAAGCATTTCGACATCTAGAAGAAAAGGAAACTGAGAGTTTATATGTTGTTATTCCACACAGGCAAGGAGATTTTACAGATGGATGTACAAGATTTGATGAATCAAGAGATCTTGAATCAAGAGATTCAAGAATTCATGAATCCACCCATCTTCCCATCCATGCATGCATCCATTCATCCATCCATCCATCCATCCATCCAACCATCCATCCATCCAACTATCTATCTACTTAATAAGAACCCCCTGTAAGTGTTAGGTATAAAGGAGAGCAACATTCACAACCCTCAGGCCCTTTCCTAGACCACAGGACTCAAAAGATATAGATATTATGCTCTTTTGCATTTGAAACAATGGGCTTAGTTTTTAAATGTATAATCATTGCATTGTTTTCAACAACCAAAAACCAATGGGAAGCAGGAATTACAAAGAGTAGGTAAATTGTGCTTTACTCAAACAACGAAACAGTACGGAACAGTTAAAAAGAACATGTTGGAGCCACTCTTATCAATGTAGTGCCATCTCAACAACATAATAGTACCATCTCAACAGCATAGCAACAAGAACTCTATTTCTAGGTCACCCATGGACTTGATTATTTATAGGGAGGAAGCACATTGACGTTTGGTTTTCACTATTAAACATAAACCCACAAAGACCAAAACTGTGTGTTGAAAACCATTCAGGTCTCATAGTAGCTTCTACTCTAACCCAAGTAACCAACAGTGCCCTATTACGTTATGACTCTGAAGCATGCTTTTTGGGAGCAAAATATTTCAGCCTTGTATTTAAAGTAGAGCTTTGATATTATCAAAGATTGCATTCACTAAGTCCCATCACACAATTACTGAGAACTTATTTGCTTAGGCAAAATATGTAGTTTGAAGTTGAACAGTATACTTTGAGAAAAAATGGTTTGAATTTAATCAATATACATAGATATGTCATTTCCTTACCACTTTGATTTTTGGGGGCCAGCTAAATCAAATCTGGTGAATTTGTATGAAGATTTTGATGCAATTATTTATGTTACATTTCCCAAGAACAGTCACTGAAAGGAGGTCATGATCATGAAGTAATGTGAAGGATAATAAACTTCATATGATATAATCCTCGTTTTGAAACAAACTATTTGTATATACATAGAAAAAAAGACTAGAGAGAAACACATCAAAATGCATATAGTGGTTATTTCTGAAGCAGTATAGATTATGGACATTTTATTTTCTATTTTATACATGTCTTCGTCTTCCAAATTATCCACGGTGGTTTCTGGGGCTTTCATAAATGAGAAAAATCTTATTAACACTTTTTTTTTTTAAAGATCCAGGTAGGGGCACCTGGGTGGGTCAGTCATTAAGTGTCTGCCTTCAGCTTAGATCATAATCCCAGGGTCCCGGGATCGAGCCCTGCATCGGGTTCCCTGCTCTGCGGGGAAGCCTGCTTCTCCCTCCCCCACTCCCCCTGCTTGTGTTCCCTCTCTTGTTGTGTCTCTCTCTGTCAAATAGATAATATCTTTTAAAAAAATTTAAAAAAAAATTAAGATCTGGGTAATTATGACCAAATACATACAATTAGATTTTCAAAGCAAAAATAACTTCAGGTTATTGAAAAAATAAAAAAATAAATTGTGGTTCACCTGTCAATTATCAGATCAACTGATTTTTTTAATTATAAAAAATGACAGATTTTAAACTTTTCAGGGACCAGACATTACATTATTACAAAGCACAGCTCTTACTTCCATACTCCTGTGATAATCAAAATATAAATTTTATAACCATAAAAAATAACATTGAATGAAAAAGTTGCAGACTGATGTTTTCGGAATGATATGGTTTATAAAAAGTTTTAAGGCCCATAAAACATTACATGCTGGGAAGGACAAATGCTGAATTCATGGTAATGGTTACCTCTGAGAGGGAGGGAGGACAATCGGATCCCAGAGAGGATTCATAGGGGGCTATAATATGTAATTTTAAAAAAAACCTGAGACAATAAAAAGAAAGAAAAAAGAAATGCATACTCTTGATGAATCAGAATCTTTAACAAATACAACATTTAAGAAAATCAATATAGAACCTATTGCGCCCAAGAAGATTCTACTTTTGTATTTGCTTGTATATGCAAAAAGAAGCTCTGGAAGTAGATATAAAGAATTAATATCAGTGGTTCCCTAGCACTAAAAATATGAGGGACAAGGACTGGAGAAATATTTTTCACCATTCACCCTTTTATAGTTGAGTTTTTTAACCTATTGAAAAAATAATATAAAGAAATATGGGGCTTGGATCATGTTTGTGTTACCTTAAATATAATCCGAAAAAGAAGAAGAAAAACCAATTCCTTTTTTCCACCTTTTCAGTTTATTGTTTCCTGACACAGTGGAGACATTGCATGGACTATAATGTAACTTGATACTCTCTAGTCCAAAGCTCTGCGGTTCCGAATGAGGAACCTCACCTGTCACCGCTGAAGTCTAGAACGTAAACCACAGAGAGATCAGGGTGACGGAACAGATTCTGAAACATACCCAGAGGTGTTTTAATTTTAAATTTCTGATAAGAACTCACACTTAATTCATTCTTTAAAAACTCAAGACTGGAAAAATTCCACTTATTTGAGATTTCAGTGAGTTCAACTCACTGAACTGTGGCTTTATGGAACACCTTCCCCATGGAGTTAGAAACTTGGGAAGAAAGGTGTATTCTACAGGTATGAGCCCTGCTGGAAAAAGGACCCTCCTCTACCTGACAAAGACCCTGTATTATTCTCCCTCTAACCACCCCTACCACAAACACCACCCCACTAGCCACCTGACCTTGACCCAGCCAACTTTTGAAACTCCTCATTTACACAGCAATAAAACATGGAGGAATCTATCCCAAAGTAAAGACTTGCTTGGATCAGACACCCCTAAAGATGACGGGAGGGAGAAATTCCACAGGCCTGGTGCTGCACCTTCTAGGAAATCACAGCCCCCTCAGGCTCCAGCATCTCCAAGAACCTAGGCAAAGCAGCACCAGGACAATTTCTTTTCTTTTGTTTTTTATTAAATTCAATTAATTAACACATAGCGTTATTAGTTTCAGAGGTAGAGTTCAGTGATTCCTCAGTTGCATATAACACCCAGTGCTCATTACATCACATGCCCTCCTTAATGCCCATCACCCAGTTACCCCATCCCCTCCCCCCCTCCAGCAACCCTCAGTGTGTTTCCCAGAGTTATGTTCTCCTATAGTTAAGAGTCTCTTATGGTTTGCCTCCCTCTTTGTTTTTATCTTATTTTATTTTTCCCTTCCTTCGCCTATGATCCTCTGTTTTGTTTCTTAAATTTCACATAGGAGCGCCAGGACAATTTCAATGATCAATAACCAAACCCCCCAGGCTGGCAACGCCAGACTGCAAGTTTCACAACCAGCCACCCATGTTGACAATGGTAACACAGTCACGCAACAGCGTAGCTGTTTTCACTAACAAAGTTCAATTTGAGAGAACTGATTTCCAGGTCCCAGAGATAGATGCCCAATTAAAGAAGCTACAAAGAGTATTAGAAAAATAAAATGTGGAAGAAACTCGCCGCAGCAAGAGCACCCCTGGCTAGACCTGGCGTGCTAACATAATAAGAATGCAGGCTTCTGCCTCTGGTACAATGACCCTCATCCTAAATATGCTGGGGCTTTTGTGGGTTAAAGCATTAAAAAGAAAAAAAGAATGAGCACTACTAATAAAACATATCGCTCTCGGGATCCCTTGATACATTGCACTGAGGAGGACCCAATACCATTTCTATGGTATTCTTCCAAAAATTCACAACCTCGGTCCATCACAGAAAACATGTGATGAACCCAAACTGAGGAGCTTTCTACAAAATAAGTGATCAGCACTCAAGACAAGGAATGACTGAGGGACTCTTACAAACTGGAGGAGACTAAGGAGAAATAACCACATGCGTTGTGAGATGCTCTGTAGGCTCAGCGTCTAAGATCCCATCAGCATCTAGCATCTTACCTACGGGGTTGGGGAAATCTAGTGCAGTGTGAACAAGGCCTAGAGGTCAGTTGGTGGTACTGCACCAACACTTATCTAGCTTTAGTAATTATGCTGCAGTTGTAAGAGCTAGTATCAGGGAAATCTGGAGGAACGGTATACAGGAACACTAGCGTTTTTGCAACTTCTAAGTCTAAAAGTATTTCAAAATAAAAAGTTTTTGTTTGTTTGTTTTTTTAAGAAAAAAAGGAGAAAGAGGAGGAGGGGAGGAGATTTGAAAAGCAGAGGAGGAAATGCAATGGGAAAACTAAAGAAGCACATCCCCCAGGGATGATCTACGCTGACCCTTCCCTGTCCCCCTACAGACCACAATACCTTCCAGTGACACTTGTGAGCCATGCACATTGAGTACTGTGACCCAGGTTGAGCTAAATGAGCCACCTGTAACAGACAGACCTTTTTCCTTTGTAATCACGCCTTAACTGGATCCGCTAAATATCTGTCCTGTGACCTTAGTAGAGTTATTTCTCCTCCCTGAGACACCTGGAAGGGTGATGAGAGGCTTGGGCACTAGGGTCAAAATGCATAGGTTCCAATTTTGATTCTTCCACTGCTGGGTGGAGGACCGCGGCACCCACCAGTCTGACACCAAGCAGAGTTTTTAGATCCACCTGATGGTTCAGGCTCCCAGCATGACCATGACCATGCTGGCACCAGTCTATTCAGGAGGACACAAGATGCAGGCCAGCAGGACGGCACCAGGTGCCATTCCTCCTCGAGGGTAGTCTTTGTGCCAGTCCAGCAGTTCATGGGCAAGGAGAGGCAATCCGGGTCAGGCAGGTGGAGAGGCCACCCTGGTGAAAAGCCCCATGGTCCACGGGAGCAGCATTTCTCGTGACCACTCCCTAGGCAGCCTTCCAGGGTCCCCACAAGCAGGCCAGAGTCACTGCTCCCAGGGAAGCCCAAAGTGTGCTGTCCCTTTGGGGTACTTATAGTCCACATATAGCTCCTCCCAGTTCCAGATGCA